ACACAATACAATCATTTCGTTCATGGCACTACTGATTGCACTAGTTGGTGAGGTGCCAGCAATCTTTTTACTATTAAAGCAAATCAGGCAGCGACGCTTTTTTCTCGTACTCTCGTCGCTGTTGCCGCAGCTGTGACGTCATCAGCACGCGCTCGCGTCCGCGCCACCGGGGAGCTTTATTCTTCCACCACTCATTCCCATCTTAAGAGAGAGTGGCTCTTCGCCCCTAATTGCAATCCGTGGTTGGACAGAATCACAAACTCATCCGGTATTTCTGCAAATCGTACTTTCTGAGGAAATTAAACTAAGCTCCCTAAAGCCTAACGCGCTTCAACCACCACCATGCCTTCCATCAGCAAGCACATTTTTCGATCCTTTTTTCAAACCATGACTTGAAATTACCCCCAGATTATGGGTCTTGAACATTCCTATCTGTTCTACTTCTGCTATCTATCTTGCCCCTACACATCTCGTTGTTGGTTATATTCAGCTAGATTCACTTATGAGAGACACTTCAGGACCACATACAATCCCTCTGGCTCCCGGTTCATGTCACGATAAAAGGAGAACAGACCACTATTGTCATTTGTTAAACCTGAATGAACACATGTTGTTCAATATTCAAAACCGGTTGCCAGATGAACTGAGGTTAAATGTGAAAACGGATCGAATGCCCAAGAAACAACTACGTAACGCGCGAAACTGTGTCCAACTAGCGCTAACCAACTCTTGCTATATAAAAAATGTCCAAAAAAGGTAAACAGAAAAGACTAAACAAGAACCTTGCACGTTCGGTAAGCGTTTTTCAGAGTCGTGTTGAGAGAGTTGAAACTTTCGCATAGATTATTCTCCCTGTAGTAGTTCACCAGCTCCTAAACAATGACATTCACCAACAGTGTAACATTCTTCACTCGAAAACAGTTGGAAGTACACTGTTCCCGAGAATTCGATGATTCACTTGACATGACAGAAGAAAAAGTACACCAATGACAAGAATGTCCTCACCACTATACTGTGGAACACGTATCCCTCGTCCAGATAATAGATACTGTTGTCCCGTTGCTCGACAACTGTATGTTTCACTTCGCCTTCATAGCTGAAAAAAAAGAAAATTGAGCCACGAACAAATCAATCTACTTCGGAGAAATAGATCTTGACGTATCATGCAGTACTCTGCAAATGTTACACTTCACTGAACTGCGTGTTGGAATGACTAAGATTCGGAACGGAACGACATTGTTCCTTTCGCCGGCACCGAAATGACAGGTGAATACATTTAGTCGACTCATTTTTAGATGCGCCACGAATTCAGCTTTTCTTCCAAATCATAGCGGTATGCTGGATGCTCCAATACTGATAAACAAGTCAGTGTATTTATCCTTCCACACATATATGACAGGCCTGGTGTCAGAGCTCGCGATCCGTCGCAGTTCCGCGCGATTCGCGCGAATCGCAAAAATCGCACGTGCCACATTTTTGAACAGTCGAAACAATTGTAATATTGAAAGAGTGGAACCGATGAACAGGGCGTCATTCACATTCACCATCAACAGAAATGTGGCGAGATTGTCAGAGAGCACCTTGCCGTATGATTCGGCACACTAGTGATTTTCTGGCAAATCCGTCGCGTGATTCTGCGCGAAACTAATGGTAAGAATCGCCGTGACTTGACACCAGCCATACCAATGCTAACCCAGAAAGATTGAAAGCTTGATTGGTCTTAGCGAAGAATTTTCGGCGGCTATCTTTTACTAATTTTCGAAGATTACCACAGCAGTGCTCAGAAACGACCTCTGTTCCAACGGACTTCCCGTAAGTAACCCTCACCATAATTTTCACAATGATGATCAAAAGTTCTTAGAATGCGAATTAGGTTGTGAAGTGAAGTAAGTTTCTCACAGTTTTTCCTTCGCCCGGATACCCCATAGGACTCGGAAAGCGGAACCTTGACGATGAACACACTATGAAACATGAGATCCGCTCCAGCTCGAATGCTGCCACTTGCCAGCTATTACCAAATAAATCATTTTATGGGCAACGTAAGATGGTAGCGCTTTTACACTTATCCAAAACAAATGTATTGGTTATTCAGCTACCTTATACTGATTACGTAGCTCCTTCGGTTCTTGCTGTATCGCACAAGGAATGTCCCATTTGGTGTCCCACGCAGTTTCGCTTCCGATTCAGCACGTTCCAAATCGCCCATGTACCACGGTTGGAGGCTAACTTCCGTGTTCACATAATCCTGCTGAGGAGTTGGTGTCATCCTGAAATTAGTCTTACTACTCTCGAAATCGTATTCACGTCACCTACAGCTTCAGAATGTTGGTATTGTTTAAAGAAATGGATCGCACAGCATACGAGCAAACATAAGTGACCGGATTCATCGGCCTTAAATAACATTCAGACAACTGCACCACCTCACTCTGCATCCTGGAAGGTGTGAATAAACATCGAAAAGTGGAACTTGGAGAGTGGAACCTACTATCTAGCACTATTTACCCTTTACTGCCCCACTGCTCGAGAACTGAGCCGGATTTTGATCGAAATTCGTCCATGACTGTGGATTTGGCTAGAAACTTGCCTTCAGGGGTAATTTGACCCGTAGAACACGAATATCACACCGGTTTAGCGCGAAAACGCTTGGCGCCCGCGCCACAGGCGCCGGCGCTATCACAACAGTTTTGCGCGGGCGCCCGTAGCGCAGGCTACAGGCTCACTCGCAACGAACTAATGTGATATTCATGTTCTACGGGTCAAACTACCTCTGAGACAAGTTTCCAGCAAATTTGGTGATCCAAGGTGTTCTGGCGCTTTTGGCGCCAGCACCTGTGGCGCGGGCGCCAGGCGTTTTCGCGCTAAACGAGTAAGATATCGTGTCTACGGGTCTGAACTCCCCCGGCGCAACTTTCTAGCCAAATGCCCAGTCATGGACGAATTTCGAAAAAAAAAAAAACGGATCAGTTTTCAAGAAGTGAGGACTAAAGGGTAAACATTGCCGTTTTGATGATCGAAATATCAAAAGAAGGTAGGGGAGGGTGACGGATCCCGCAGGATTGAAATCATCCACCATATTTCAACAGCTTTAAGAAGTAGGAAAAGGGTTGCAACTGAGAATCGGAAGCACATCCGCTAAGTTATATCCTACAGAATGATTTGAGGTTAAGAAAAATTCACGCAATAATTCAAAACATTAAAAACTTTAATGGAGTAGAGCTGAGAAATCAATAAGAGATAAGTAAGGCACTTTTGCTGATTTCTAGGAAAGCAAGACACCTAGTTGCGAAACATAAAGTATGAGTGGGATAAGCAACAGCCAGCAATTCCGAGATGAGTTATGACAAAGCGATCCCGAGCCTTACTTATACTCGTGTGGTCAGCGAAACACAGCACACTCCGATGATCATCATCATCTATCAACGAAGCACTATCGGAACGAATCGCTGTTAGTCACGCAGCTGCGAATGCTACACAGCCACAACTTTTTGCTGATGACTCATGGAGAGGAGAAGATGACCTGACACGATTAAAAACAATAATTTTAAGAGCTGAACGCTTACCCGTTACCCATCATTCGTCTCGGCAGAACCGTTGATTCCTTTCTATCAATACGGAAATTGGCCGGGCTATCGAGCGGAGAAGTCATACCTTGCACAGAGTTGGTCTAAAGCTTTGCAAGATGATTCTCTGTTGAAGTATTAGTCATTTCTGAGAAAAGAAAACATTGTACTTTGCCTCACCCTCACTCGTCGAACATGCTCACTGTGGACTAGGCCCAGGATTCTGTCTATCGTTCAGAAGAATACCCTAAATCAGTACCAATGGGTTTTATTGCATAGAATTGTGCTGAGTACAAGGTGTCCTACCGTGAATGTGCCATTCCCGTGATTTTGAACAATCTCAATGATGTCATCCTTATCAAAAATCAGGAATCCTGGCTCCATCGGTGACCGTGACAATGCTATCACTTGGTCACCAGCCGATACTGTAAAAAATATATTTGATATTACTCATACAATAAAAACATGTTTCCGCAATCTGATCATCGAAATGCTAATGAATAATGTAGTCGTACTCTAAAGGATAAAAAGGATGAAGATTATGCGTCAATCAGCCCGGTTTTGGGATGCGCCACGCATTCTTGCATTTGTAGATTTCTTAAATTTCTGTATGCTTTGCAGTAGCTTCGACCTAGAGCGTATGCGAACCGACGACCACCTACAAAGGTCTCAGGGTGTGAAGCGTTTTTCAGAACGGTTCACACATCCTATATTTTAAAAAAGCCCATGACTGGACCACAGAACCGAGGTCCATTTTCGCCGAGTGGCCTCGTTGCGGCCAAAAAGTAATAAAGAAATGGTCCATGATTCAATTCCTCCCGATGGCAGAATCTCTGCATTTCAGGTTGTAGCTTCCCAAATGCTGCTCCAAATAACACCAGCGTCATTAGTAGGTGTTACATTCATAACCAGAACCATCAATAACTCCTGTACTTACTGTTCTATGTAGTAAATCCGGTGGAAAAATTTCTGAGCCAGAACGGCGCCACCTGACGCCAAGAAGTGGCGTAATTTGGTAACCCTATGTAAAAAATCAAAGGTCAAGTTCGTGATCGCGGCACTGGATGTTCCTCCAAAATATAAGTTCCGAGATTGAATGAGATTTACTATTGCCAAAGAAAGTGGAAAAAACCAGTATTAGCCCATAGGATCATCCAGCCGGTGAAAAAACAAAATCCTCGTAATCCTTCACAAATAATAAAATATTCCACTACAGATGGACAATGTCAGACATCCAAGCCAGTCAGAAATGGGGTCCACTGACGTTTGATGCTTAAAGACGCCAGTTTTCACCTCTCTATACAGAAGTGATAGGTTAGTTTTTCGCTCTTCCATCACAAGGCTCTCCTCCAGACACCTGGAGCAATTTCAAGGACCGCGACGGAAGTGGAAGATATTTCGCCCGCCGGCGTGCATGACGAGAAAATGTAACACATAGACTTTCCGAAGATGGGTCAAAATCCCAATCTCCTCTAAACCATATACCTGCCTACATGGGCAAAAGATACATGTAGAGATTCATATGTAAGGCCGATGTCAGACTTTGCGAATCGCGCGATTCGCTAGCGTCTGCGGTCGCGTCGCGGCCAGTGAATCACTCAATTGGCTGGTACCGCAACGCGACCGCGGACGCGCGAATCGCTAGCGAATCGCGCGATTCGCAAAGTCTGACATCGGCCTAAGGTATTATGGGTACATGTACACGTATAGAGACAGGTTCTAATCACGAATAGTACGTCCGTTTCCGGCGTTAGCGCCATAGCGCCACTTTGGCGTTGCGAATTTACTCCCCCCCCCCCGCCTCCCTCTCCGGTAAAAAACCCTTTTGTAAGAATCCCTGTTGGTTGTGAATATAATGGCTACAATGATGTTGAAGCCATCTGGTATCTATTCAAAGGCAACAATCAAAAGCAAAAACTAGCCATGGATCAGAGTCGAACCAGCAACTCTTAAATCCCCCAGCCCAGTGAGCGCGCGATCCCGAAGACGCTCATAAGCCTCTACAC